GGCGTCGTGCCCGAGGGGCTCCCGGGGGTCCCGGGCATGTGCCCGGTGTGTGCCCGCGCCTGGCAGCGCCGGGGTGGGAGAGGGGCGAGGGTGGTCGCGCACGAGGTGCGGTGGGTGCCCGCTGCCCCGACGTGTCCCGGTGGGACCGGCCGTCTCTCTGACACCGTGGAGGTGACCGGGTAATTTCCGGCCCCAGGGAGTTTCCCGATGGAATTTGGACAGGGAGAAATGGGTGAAAACTGAAAGAGGGGGAAATTAGGTTGGGTGCGTGGAATAAATTTTTCTTTGTGAGAGTGACGAGACACTGGAACAGGTTGCCCAGGGAGGTTTGGATGCCCCATCCCTGGTGGTGTTCAAAGCCAGGTTGGATGGGCCTTTGAGCAGCCTGGTCTAGTGGAAGGTGTCCCTGCCCATGGCAGTGGTGGTCTTTAAGGTCCCTTCCAACCCTGATTCTATGACTATGTGTTTGGGAGGTTTTAAAAAAGGAAAATGTCTAATGAAGTCGCATCCTGGTGTTACACAGGTTGGTTACTGGAAGGTTTCAGACCCGCTGACAGTCTCGTAGTCACTGCATGTGTTAGTATGGAAAAGGGGGAAATGGCAGTCTTGCTGTACATCTTACAGGAATGTTGAGAGTTGGGACACATTTGTCAGGACGTGATGTCAAACGACAGTGGGAATTTTAAGGGTCCAAGTCTCTGCCGTGTGGTTTCTCCCCACAAACCCTCCTGTGTGGTGGAAGGCAAACTCAAATCCTGAGCCAAGCCTCTGGTCAAAAGTCATAAGATGAGTGAAATCTTGGTCTTTAAAAATAGCATCTTGAAATAATATGTTTTATGTTATTTGGTTTAGAGCCTAGAATTTTTATCTTTGGTATGCTTGAACTTTTTTCCAAAACCCAAAGGGAAATAACAAAACTTTTTTTTTTCCTTATTGAAAGCTGAGGTTAATATCGAATTATCTTCCCCTTCAGAAGCTGAGGTTTTAGGAGTAGTGGCTTAGGTTAAACTAGTAAGTTTGAACAACAGTGATTTGTTTTGAGTGGAACTTTCAAAAAGTCCAGCTGAGGGAAACCACAGGCTCAGAGTGGAGAACTCCATGGAGGGACAGATGCATGAAAGGAGTGAAACCAGAGAAGGAGATGAGACCTCATGGAGGCCTGGCCAGCTGAGGTAGCTACCTGGGCCCTGTTTAGAGGCTGCAGAAGATATTTGGCTGATAACAGCCAAAGCACTCTTACTCCAGAGAGAGAGGCTGGAAAGAGCTTTGTCCCTGACCTCTGTCCAGGTGTGGCTGTAGGGTTAAATCCAACATTGGTCTTCTAGACGGGGAATGCTGATTTTGTCTTTTTAGCTCACCAGCCATCGCTGGAGAACACAAGGCTTGTGTTCTAGCCACTTCACTGGTGTATATACTCTCATTTCCATTGTTCTGTGTTTTCAGCATTCTTGAGTTCTTTCTTGGTCTTCCCCAGATGCCATCACTGGATCCATAATTCAAAGACTTGTGTAAAGATGACAGGAACACTCACAGAGAGAAGAACAGACCCTGTGAAGGCACCTGAAAGTGAACTTTAAAGATCAAGACTAGGTTTTCAGGAAAGTAAAACTGCTCATCATTCTTTCCTGCCCTGTGCCTCAGTGTCCAGGGGAAGGGGACGGTAAAAACCCCTTCCCACTGTCTGCTCCTGTCTTCCTTTGTCACCTATGGCTGTCCAAGTCATAGAGGTTGTTTTTACTTCTCCTGGGCTTTTTTTAGTCACCAGAGGGGATCTTGAAAGACAGGTCTGAGACTGGCACGGTCACAAGAAAAAGAGAATTGTGAAAGGGGTAATGGCACCATGCTTTGCCAGTTTTTCATCAGCTAAGCCCTGATTTGGATCTGATTCTATTCTGCAGCCAGATGAGAGAGGGCAAATTTAATAATCCAAATAAGTGTGCAGCTTTTTGAGCAATTAGAGAATCAACTGCTAAATACAAAACACATCTCACTTGTGACAGATGACTCTTATAATAACAAAAGTATGAGTTCATCATATTCAGGCATCTTTTAAAGTTTCCCAAAAGTAGAGAATTAATGCACCAATTCAGCTATAAAAAATGACAAACTTATAAACACCCAGAAGAGGAATTTTGAAGAGAATTTTTTGCAACCTTAAGTACAGTTGTAGTACCAGCCATGTTACTGAAGCAGAGGTGTAATACGTAACTGTACAGAATATGTAATTCAGAATATTGTAATTCTGACAACTTCTTATTGTATAGATCCACATCTTTAACAGAAAAAATGTTGCAGAAATACTTCTTATTTATTATGGTAGTTCAGAAAACTGAATAGACCAATCGCTCCCTCTAAAAACAACCAATGAAATTAACCAATGAAATTACCAATGTAGAATATTTTGAACCAGTGGTACCTCTTAAGTGTGAGAAATCTGTCTTGGGACATTCTAGACTAAATACAAATACCTGAAAAGCAAGAAACACTTTCAGTTTCTAGGTCTGGAAAGTCAAAAAAAGCAAAAAACAACCCTTGAATTTATTGTTTATGAGCTGGGTAGAACTAATAAACTTTGGCTAATTTAGGTCTTTTTTTTTTTTTTTTCTTTTTTTTTCCCCCCACCATTTTGTTTTAGAGGAGGCTGGAGCACATAGTCCAGATCTGAATAATAGGAAGGAACTCTCATTAAGGGCCTGGGTTATTTGATAATAACCATGTGAGGCTGCTTCGGCAGGGCTGTAATACTGCAAAATATTAGAGAAAATACTCGAGAGATGGATTAGCATTCAAAATTGCATGCTGAAGGTAATTAATTGTTTGATTCTCTATTAGGTGTGTATACTTTCCCTTCTGTACCAAGTTTGAGGTTACTGGAAACAAACCAACTAACAACAAAGAACAAAGGAAGAAAGAATAATTTAGAACAATCACATTTTCCACAGTACCAGCTAAATAAATGCCTGAACAGGCACCTGGATATGCTTGCTACTTCCAAAAAACAAGATAAGGATGAAAGATAAGCACCTGCCTTAAACAGCATTTCTAGAAATTATTCAGCAAATAGTAAGCAAATTACACTGGTCTGAGATTCCATCACTTCATGCAGGGGAGGATGGGTCAGTATTTTAGTAGAGGAGTGGAATATGGAAAGCCAAAACCTGGCTGGAGTTACGACTGAAGGACATGAAGGGCAATATAAAGAGCTTCTATGGGTGAACTGGCAGTAAAAGGAAGACAAGGGAAAATGTGGGACTGCTGCAGAACTGGGTGATTAAACTGGCCATAAAGGCCAAGGGAAAAGCAGAGACCTCTTTCATCTGGACTTTGCTGGAAAAAAACCCTTCCACATCTCTCAAGCTTCTGTGGCTGGTAGCTGGGTTTGGGGAGAGGAGGGAAACTACCCACAGAAAGTTCCATTCTGTCAAACTGGTCATATACAAGTCCACTGGACCACATGACACTCATTTGAGTGTTGAGGGAGCTGGCCAGTTTTATTTTGTGCTCACACCCTATGATTGATTGGATTTGAAAGTTCATGGCATTTAAAAGACTGCAGGTGACTGAACAAAGGTTGATGTTACACATTTAAGTTCAGTTGTGTCTGACCCAGTGTCACTGACTTTGAGCTTAGTGAGCATGGGGTAAGCAGAGGATGCCATTCTATCTTGTCTTTATGAGGGCTTTTGGTGGGCTTCCTCAATAACCTTGTAACGGGGGAGATGTGGCTGGGGTAGGCAGACCGTGTGTGTGAAAAACTGGCTATACCCCCAGGCTTGAAGGTTGTGTCTCCTTGAAGTCTTGGCTGATGCCCTGTTAGGAGGGGTCAGGGATCAATACTGGAGCAAGTCTTTGTTGACGAGGTCACCACGCAGGGGGTGGTACAAAGTGCCCCCTCAGCAAATTTTCAGCTGGTCCTCTTGCCAAGCTGGGGAGATCAGTTGATAGCCAGGAGGCCATCAGACAGAGCAGGCTTGCCAAGCTGCAGGAGCGGGCCAATGAGAGCCTTGTGTTGGTCAACAGAGACAAGGGCAAAGTCCTGAATGTGGGACAGACTATCCTCATGGGACGCTACAGGCTGAGAACCAGCTGCCTTGGAAGTAGCCCCGCAGAAAAGGGGCTGGCCGTCCTGGTGGACAAAAGAAGTTCTTCATGGGATTTCAACACCTGCAGGGCTGCATTATCCATATGCCCAGCAGGTATGAGCTCTGTGTGCAGCACTGGTGAGGCCACACTGGATATGCACTGTCCAGTTTGGGAACAGCCAGTTCAGCAGAAGCTGCTGAGGTGGTAGGGACTGGAGCACATGCTGTGTGAGGAAGTGGGTTTGGCCACAGCAGGATCTAATTACAATGTGCACCTTCTCAGAGAGAATTATAGGGAAAATGGCACAAGGCTTTTCTCTGAGATGGTCACCAACAAGATAAGAGACAAAAGTGAGAAGCTGCACCCAGAGATATTCCAATTGTGTGTAAGAAAACAAAAGTTCAAAGTGAGAGTGGTCAAGCAGCAGAACACTTTACCTGAGTGGCTGTGGATTTTCCATCCTTGGAAACAAAACTAGACAGGAAAAGACTTTGAGCAACCTAGTTTGTCTTTGAAGATAGCTGTGGAGGGAGCAGGAGGTTGAACCAGTGACCTGCAAAATATCTTGCCCAGATTTAATTTTGCTGTCATTATAAATACACTTTCTACAAGACTATCCTTGTGTTGGGGGGGAACAGTATTGGTGACTGGATAATTATCATGTCTCGGGGATTTCTGATATTACATCCCAAAGCTTCAGTACAGCCATCATGTTGTTTTGTAGATGAGTTTGGGTGGTGAGGATAAGGGCAGTAATGCTGTTATTGCAACTTAATTAAATATTAGGTAATCACACAGTGTCTTCTGTCCACCAAATTCATGTGCATATGCTGATGTTGACCTCTGCACTCTCCTGGGTAAGCACAGCGTGGTGTGGTCACAAAAGTAAATGTCAGAAAGTGCCGAGGATCCCATGTGGTACAGAACGTCCTGTTTTATACAGGGTGTGTCATATTGTTACATGGTCAGTGCAATTTCTCATAGGAAGAGCATACATGGCAGGGTTTCCCCTGCATTTCCGTTGCCAGAGGTGGCTTTCTGGATGTGCAGGACACAATGTATTGGGAGAGCTCAGTCTTCCCTGTAAGGACAGATAAAACACACATGTGCAAAGGGTGTGCTGCCAGATTGGTACTTACTGTGCAACTTCTCTGAGCAAGACAATATTGCTTATGCTGTGAATCTTACATGTCAGACTTGCTTTGCATGCAGGATTTATCTGTCTGGGACTATCCTAGATATCACCTTGCAAAATCTGTTTACGTATCCTGTGATGTATCAGGCATTTTCATATTCAGAAGTTATGTGTAGCCAGGATTTGGAAAGACAGTAGTCCACCATGTCAGTGCTCCAGTGGATTGCAATGTACAGAATAACAGCGTGCTTGGATTTTTCTTTTTTTTTTTTTTTCCCCACATCTTGATAGGTGTAAATGTTCACTCTAACACTTACAAAATCCCCTTCTGACCACTGTGTGCAGCAGGAGCTGGCAGATACTCCACAGAAAATCCAATCACTGATTTTATTCCATGGAGGTTTTCAAGCTTGTTGTTTCTTGTGGTCTGTGTTCCTTAATATCAGCATGTTTATTTCATGTCCAGGTCTCAGATGAATTATTGGTGTTTTTTTGTGAGATTAGATTTATCCTGCTATTGTCACAGTTATTTTACTTTTCCTACTTGAGGGCTGCTCCCCTGCCTTTTATTTTGTGCTGGCTCTCAAGGCAATTGTTATTTCAAGATTGTTAGTTGTGTCTGCCAACTCCCACATAGCTCCTAGAGCCTAACCCTGGATGGGGTGACACCCCATCTTCTATTGCCTATCCTTGGAATTAGGACCTGTCTCTCCCAGAACGACATGCACACTTTGCTTTTCTCTAGGCAACTGCAGTGAGCTCTCACACCTGGAACTAAACAGTCAAGACCAGGCATGCAGAGTGTAGTATCTCATATCCACTCTGGAATGGGCAGAGGGGAAATTATTACGTAATCACCAGAAGATTTCATCTTAACATTTAGCTTGTGAATAGCTCCTTGGAGCCCTGGAATTACTTACTAATTTTTTCCCCTTCTTAATCAGGAATATATGGTTTTCCAAATCTGTGTTTAAAACAGCAAGTGAACCAGATCCTCCTTACTTTGGGCAAGAGATTAAAAGCTAGTGTCACAAGAATGTCATTGCACTCTTTAAGTGCCCCTTATTTTAAGGGAAATCATTAATTTTTCTTGTAACTGTACCCTTACTTAAAATACAGCTTCCTGTACAAGCTCCTCCTTCCCTGTTGATGCAGAGTACTTACATCAGAAATAAAGAGCCACAAAATTAGAGGAAAGGTTCCTTTGTGTGGCTCCATACATTTATGCAGTAAAAAGTCTTCACCACTTCATGTAATGTTTTCTGTTACATCAGCTCTGGCACTCTCAGACTTAAGACCTGAGGAAGTTTCAAATACCTACTCTGATAAAGAACCCAAGACACCACCACTAGCCCAGTACAAAAATACTTTTTCTGTATGCTTGAAAAAGGGTGTTGTCCAGAACTAGACTGGCCTGAGGTGCAGGAGTGGGCAAGAGCACTGCATGGTACTGAAGACTGACCACTCAGGCTTTCAGGAGGATGCTCATGCAGGATACAGGTTCTGTCTGAGGCTAATACCTCAGGAAGTAAGATGTTAAATCCATGTGATTCAATAACCTGTAAACATTACATTTTGATTTCCAGAAGAGTTTCTTCAGATCCTTTCCCAAAGGCTCTTAGTATTAGAGAGTTTAGTTTTTTGTCATTGACTAATGTATTTGGGTCTTTTGTACTAAACTAACCTGATTTCTCCAATTGAAAGTGTAACATTCACCAAATTTTCTATAATACTTGGGAGCTTTTTGAAGGGGGTACAATCTGTGGAATGGAGGCAGAGATAGTTTTTTACTGAGACATATTTGGAGCAACTAATATACCTTATTTTAATATTTGCCTCACAAATAATATAATAATTTCAAATACATGCAGATTAAACCTTTATACTTTTGTGGCTTCTCTCTTAAACAAGAGTGCCAAGAGGGTTTCTGAAGCATGATGTGGTAGGTAGGGTTTACTGACATACATTTGGCTGCATTACTCATCACCAGTTGGACTAATGGGCAGGACACCCTAGATATTGTCATTCCTATTTTTATCCAGCAGGACAAGTTGATACAATAGATGCAATTACATCTGTAGAATTTCCGAGGTAGTTTCTCATTTTCTATAAATACCAACACCTTCTTTGTCAGGAATTCTGATTTAATAGTACTTCTTCAGAGCACCACATCTGAGAGAGTGTGTCCTGCTGGATATGTCAGTACTGGGAGTCATGGTGGGAAGTAGTTCCAGCTGGAAGGAGGAAAGGGGAATTTTGCAAAATTAGCATCAAAGGCTTGGTCTTTTAAATATTTCAGTGCATACATAGACATACTTCTGTGGGCAGTGCTGTTTACTGCATTTTCACAGTTGGAACCTGGTTTTATGAATTATAACAAATCTGTCACCTTGAAGTAACTAATTATATCGCACACCATGGCCTCTCAAAACTTCACAACACGTTCTGAAATGAGCTCAAGCTTTCCATCCTAAAAGACAAAAACTTCTTTCCCTGAAGCTAAAAGAATACCCATGTGTTGTTAGGAGTCCCCTGCCAAAGATGTGCATTGCCAAAGACACAGCTGAACAGAACTAATTTCATTTTGCCAGGAGCATTGACACAAATGCAAAGTAGGTAGCTTGATAAATCTGCTTTACTGTTATTATTGTAGCAACAATGTTAGCAGGAAAACCTTGATAAAACTTTCTTTTTGAAAAACATAATTCATGGTATTAATCTAGCCTGACTTTGTGCATCTCTGAATTAAGCAGTTGGCCCAAGCTATTTTTCTAGGCTTCCTCTGGAGAGGTGGAGGCAGCCACAAAGGTGATTCATCCCAGATCCTTATCATAGGATGGGATGTGTTGCTTTCTGGTGTCTTGCAGTGATACTATGGGAGCCTAGCCCAGTGATGTTAGCATACCTCACTAACTCATAGGTGAGTAGAGTTAAAAGAGGTGAATTCTGGCCTACCTTCTACCACTGTGATTGTAAATCTGGAAATTCACACAGTGTCACATTGGCTGGGAGATGCCAGTGTGCCATTGACAGCCACAGTGAGCTGTGGCAGTGTAGCACTTACTCCCGTGTTACTGGGAGGCCAGCCTGTGGCTCATGGATTGCGGAGCTGTGCCATCGCATCCCTTCTTGGTGATCTGTAATCATCAAGGTCATAATGGTTCCTAAGACACAGCTGTGGGGGGAAGCCAGCCAGCCAGGGATGTTCAGACCACTGCTGACAGGTAGCCTGAAAAGCAGAAGATCTCCTAGGATGTTAGCAGGAAGGATCTGAGGACGACCTTTGGGGATCTCTGAGGGTCTAGACCTACCATATCTTATCTTGAAGCTGCTCCCAGAGCTCTTCATCCCCTTGATTCTTCAGGGTATGTGTCTTGTGACTCTTGGGCCTAACTAGAGCCTATGTGCAGTTCATTAGATTGTAAAGGATAGGCACTGATGCTTAATTAGATTTGTTACTTTAAAAGTATGCACACTATTAAAGTTATTATCATCAGAGGAAGAAAAGGCAAGGTGAAAGCTTTAAAACCTTTCCTGATTAAATGCAGTAAGCATTCTGTGTATGCAGAACTGCCAGCAATTTCTCTTTCTTCTCACCATCTCTTATCTTTTGTAAAAACAAAGAAAAAATACATGCATCCCATCTTGAAAATATAGCCTTTTCAACAAAACTCTAAAATAAGCACTTTTCTTCACTAAACCCATTAATTTCTCATATTAATTTTTATATTTTATAAGGTCAATTACCCCATAACACATACTTGCATGCCTTCTTCAACAATAGTTTGATAGCATTATTTCAACACTGAGAAAAGAATTAGGCTCACCTGCTTCATTGTTTAAAAGTTTGATATCCTAAAATATCTGGTATGAACACATTATGACTTCCCTGAGATCTTATGAGTTATTTGATGTTAAAACATCCTCAATCTGTCTTCTTCACAGAACATATTACTCCACATCTTACTTTTGTAACATATTAAATATTTGTGTTTTATCAATATTGTTAACAAAATATATTGATGATGAAATACATTGCAAATATTATGTGAAAAATAAGACTATGCTACTTCACATATGTTCTAAAATTTGTCATAGGAATAGGAATTTTACCTATGCCTTTCAACACCTTTAATGGTTTCTATCATTTTATCTATATAACATGAATACCTATAAATATTAATTTCAATTGTAAATAATTTAATATATGGAACAAACCCTATGGATATGTGATTTGGATTTTTTCAACTAGAAGAAGTAAATTGAGGCAGATTCGCATTGTCAACAGCTACTTCCATGACTTGGCTTTTGAAACAAGTCTTGATGAATATTATTGCATAGTTATTACACTTTATTACAGTTATTATCAAGCATTTTCAAAACATAGTTAAAATACTAATTTTTTTAATGAAACCTTCTAGAATGCTCAACCTGCTGCCTTTTACATTGAACCTTGGTGTTCCTTAGAGAATAACCCTAGCAATGTTTGGAAAGGGAGCATTTTCAGGGGCGAGGCAATATTTAGCCTCTGAGATGGGGAATTTTTGCTGCTTGGATAAATAAAAATAGATAGAATAGTAGAAATCATGTCTTCTGTGGTGTTCAGCCTGTGCTGATTTATTCTTTTTGTTTCTTTATCAGTGGATATCAGACTGGTATCAGTCTTCTCATTTCTATAGATGTTTTCGTTACGGGTTTTCAAGTTCACCTATCATTTTTATTTGTCATTACATTGGATTTCTCTTTGTCCAGATCAGGCTGAAAAATTTTTCTTTCAGTTTTTTCCAAGGTTTTCATAGGGAGGAAAGAGGATTGTATTGTTCTGAGTGACACTGGCATGCAAATAAATAACACTGAAACTTGGAAGAGCGTTAATTAAAAATTATTATAACCTGACTGACCTGACTTGGCATCATGGTATCTTGCCAGACTGGCTCTTTATTCTTACGCGTGTCTGATTCGTGTTTGTGGTGTGAAGCTAATGAGCTCATGGAATTGTTTGGCCTAATTCTGCTCCCTTTATACTGCAGAAGTTTTATGTGAGGAGGAACAAGGAATATCAGAATGAGGTTCATTTGGTATGACTTGTGGTGATTAACCACAAGTAATATTTGGTATAGATTACTATTTTAATAAATTCATAGATAAACATTTGTAGATGAAATATTTGCCCTATTTTTGTTTACCTAAATGAGATTTACATTGTTTTAAGACTGGCATACATCTGTATGTAAGCTCCACTGGCTTCAGTGAACATTTTTTGTGATCCTTACCTGTGTGAGGCCACACAGGGATCACTGAAACAAATTAGAATGTGTTTAATGATGTAATTAATCAACAACAATGTAACACTCAATTTGCTGTGTCTTCTAATCACATTGCCATCATTTTAGCTCTCCAGAAGAGCAATTTGGGTGGTTGTGAACAAGGACTGGAATCTGACTTAGAGAGGTGTCTCCAGTTAAAAGAGAAGCAGATCTTATCTTTACATCCATATGTGCTACATGGACATAAAAAGGCTGTTCCTTAAAGTCTTTGAAGAGAGATGGGTCTAACGATTGTCCTGATCCTCTTTCCCTTTCCCAGAGGAACACTGGGCTGTGGGCTGGGGCTATGGAAGATGCAGGTCTCCCACCTCAGCCCGCCTTCCCAGCTGGCTGCTGTGCTCATTATCCGGGCTGGAGCGCCCCAGTGACACACCTCTACAGCATCTTGTTTTAGAGTTACTTGGCAGGAGCGCTGTGCTGAGCTGTGCAGCCATATCCTGCATTTAACTATAGGGTTACATGAGTAATAAGTCAGGTAGCTCAACCAAAGTTATTCAAAATATGTAGCACAGCTGATGCAATTACCAAACACACGCTGTGGGACCCCATTCCTTGGCCAGTTCTGTATTCAGTAATTGTCAGTATGGTTTGACATGTGACCAGCACATTCTCAATATGATTTATCACACTGTCATTTTTTTTTACATCTCCTTTTCTTCACAACTTTTTTTAATATTTCAAGAAGAATTCCTGGGGATTATTTTCTCTCTTTCTTGAGGTATGCAGTAGTAGCCACAATCTGACATGTTACGTTGCATTATTTACAGTACATAAATGCGATGTCTTTAATGTCCATGTACCAGTAATCCCAGCAGGCCCAGGCAAAGTGAGCCCTAGTTTTGTAGATATTTGGTTTGAATTTACGTCTGTCCACGCCTCTGCAAGCTTACAATGTAGAAAAAGGAGACAAAATGGAAAGGTAATATGGACAGAATGGGTTGAACAGGGGGGATTCCCCTGTAGGTTTATTCGTAACATTGGCTTCAAACTATTGGAAAGGAAGTTATTGCTGAGAAGTGATGGGAATGGGAAAGACAAATGAAGGGAAAGGGCAGAAAGAATGAATTTGATTCAGAGAAGTTTTTGGTGACTGACTTCATAGAAATAATACAATAGAAAGTGGAGAAAAAGTCCGTGGTCAAATCACATGAGGAGTCAGTCTAAAATTTCCAAATAGGTCGCTGATGTTTGCTGGCAGCTTTTAACTTCAGCTGGAAGAAAAGAGCCTCTTTTCTCCACAAACCAGAATTAATCTGTAATGCTTTTCTCCTCCAACTCAAGTGACTTGTGTTAAGAGGGCAGCTTTCAGACAAGGACCTTGGACCAAGTCCTGTTTGGGTACAGTGGAAGATTTCCAGCTGTATTTTAAAGCACCATTCACCTCTTGTGTCTGAACTGTTAATTTGCAGTGGGGTCACTCCCAACTTCGACTACTGCTAGGACATTAATGGTCTAAATAACTGCACCTGCTATGTTAATGAAAGTGTGCAGAAAAGCTCAAGTAATTTAGAAAATTATGTGTTGTGTTGGGGTGCCAAGAAGGATAGAAAGATACAAGTGGCAAGAAGTTGGTCAAAAGAAACGGGGATTTCAGATCACTTGCTGTATTATTGCCACAGTGTTAGCAGTGCTGCTAATGCTTTCAGTATTTTACTGACTGTATTCAGCTTTGTAGTTGAATGTGTTGCAGAGTGGGAGGGCTTTTTGACTAAGAGAAGGAATTGAAATAATGTTTATTTTTTATGTGGTCCTTCTTATCATTTTACTGGCAGGTTTTTAAGATTGTGAGATTTGTTTAAGACCAATCCCTAGCAAAAAAATAGGTCATTAGGCATCTTTGGATCAAAAAATCACAGGAAAACAGAACTGGAATGAACTTTAAACAATTAATTCCTTGCTCCAGTCTGCAAACATGTATACCAATATGATTCCTGATAAATGTTTGTCTAAACTGTTTTTGAAATCCTTTGCAGCCTCCTCAAGCGATCTATTCAAGTCCTTATTATACCTACTGTTAAAAGAAGCCATTTCTAATGTCTAATCTAAACCTCCCACCTGCAGTTCACACCCATTACTTCTTATCATGCCATGCTGGGCATGAAGAACAGCTTAATTCTCTTCCTCTCTGCATCCATCTTTTATGTATTAGATAATGCTTGCATTCTCCTGCATGTGCCCTTTTCTCTGCAGCTGGACTTGGATGAATATAGATTAAAGAAAAAAAAAAAGAAAAAATCACATTTCTGGCTGAGACAGTCATTTCAGCTGCTCAGGCAGCAAGTGGAAATGGAGGAGTTAGAAAATGCTGGGCAGGGCAGGGTGATTTGCTTAAGGCAATCTGAGGCCCTAAACATAGCACACGAGAGAGGATGGTGCTGCCTTGTGTTGCACATCTCTCATGACAGTGCCTGTTTGGCATTTCTGTCTCACCTGCCCATGTCTCAGCCTGCATCTCTCCCCTGTCACCTGAACTGTGGCCAGGAACTGTAGGTGCTTCTGTGCAGCCTGATTTTCAGGGATTAGGTCAGTTCTCTGTTTCCATTGTCAGTTGTCTCTATTTTTTAACTCAGAGATGGGTAAGAAAAAGTAGGGAATGAGAAATGTGGCAGCTGGTAACTGACCCACACTCTTTAATTCAGTCTTCAGAACTCGTACTCCAAGATACAGCAGATATCCATGAAATACCTTCCTCCTTCTTTCTTCACATCTTACAGGTCCTGGCAAAGATCCCCAAAACCCCATTGTCCAGAATTATCCCTGACTGCTCTTAGCAGTTATCCCTACTGCTCCAGACCAGTATCCCTTAGCATGGGCATGACAGAGGCTTCCCAAGTAACCTGCAGACATTCCTAGGCACTTTAGGAGCACCAATCCTTTGGTTGTCCACTCTGTCTTCTCCCAGGCGTCCCAGCCATGCCAGCCTTTCCCTCACGGATCATTTGGATCACATATATGGTGATAGAGTCTCTAAAACTGCAAATTTACTTGGTGTTGCCTATGATTTGGATGCATGGAGCAGCTCTCCAGTTCTCCTGGTGTGAGGCACACACGTGGGTGGGTGAAATCCGTATCTCATGGGGATTTTGTGGGGTGAACAGTGCTTTGTTCCTTTGGGGCTGACAACTGAATGAATGTACAGAGCAGTTTGCATGATTTAAAGCTATTGTTTGCAAACCTGTATAATCACTGTGGTCACATTTTGTTTTCTGTGATGAAGACCATAAACTTACTTTTAAATTAAGAAAACTCACGTTCTTCTTCTAGTTGTGTGATTCTGAGAGCTGGGACCTGAAGCATAAGACTATAGTGCTATTTATAATGTCAAAATATTTAGAGTGAACTGGATTCTTATGTAGTGGAGAGAAAATAATTGTTTGTCATGTCACTTAATTTTTGAAAAAGAAAGCCTATAGAAATTTTTCCTCAAGTCCATGAAGTCTAGAATTGCCTCATTCTACTGCAATAGTGAACTTCACAAATGTGCCATATGACAAAATCTTACCTGTAGGTTAAATTTGGAAAGATAAATCTCCATTTTGCTACATTTTCTGAAAGAACACCATTTGTATAACTCTGATTTTTTATTTTAATTTATTTTTTTAATAGAGGAAGCCATTTTCATATCTTGGAATGGGAGTGGGTATTAATGTTACAGGTATAGGAATTGGTATTATCTCTGATGACATGAATCCCAGTTGAAGTGAACCTGGAAAAGTCCCCCAAGCATTTTCTGTTGATAACTGTGACACCCAGTGGTTATTTAAAGTATAAAAATGTAGTACAGTAGGATTGCAATGAACCTAAAGGCTGCACAAAATACTGAGGTTTATACAATAAATACGTGCTTTGAGAGTAGTACTCTTTTCCTTGGTAATGTGTACATATACTAAATATAAGCTATTTTAGGAATTGTGAGGCTTTATTCCATATGTTTTGCCATATTTACACACACACATAATTTATGTATTTATTTGTACAAAGCTTTTTAATACATTGTGAGGCTGAGGTTATAACTCTGGTGAAACACTGACAAAAAGTAGCTATGAAGTATGGAATGGCTTTTAATTCTTGTTGGTGAGAAGCTGGCTCAGAAGAAGTCTGGGAGATAAAGGAACCTTGTTTCCTCTCCTTTGTTTGCCACTGACTCATTGTGTGGCTTAGAACAAATTGCTTGTGTGCATGGCTGATAATCAGTCTGTTCATAAAGGTGCAAGATGTAATTAGTATTAATCTAGGTGGCATTCACCTCCAACCATTTATGCCAGAGTCAAGAATGATGAACTTATATGCTCTGTATAATGCCTCATATTTATATTCCAAAGCGTAATATTACTTTATGAGCTGTGTTTTATTACAGAGCACTGAATATGGCTTTACTCCCATATACCTGGTAAATGAGAAATTAAACCCTATTGTTTAGGGATCACTGACCATTAAATATTTACTCTTGGTGGCATGTTTAAAATAAACGAATGCTCTCAAAATTCAGAATGCCTAATTGCACTGGACCAAGCAGCAGGTGCCCATTATAAATAGATAACTATATCTGTTGTTTGGGAATGTCTCAGGGAACTGTTGAAGCTTTTTCTTACAGGTAAGAAGAGTTACACAGCGGAAGGAGCAATGTCAGAAGGCATCCGCTTACAAGCTGGAAATTAGATGGAGCTGCAAAGTCAGTTGCTGCCTTAGGCCCTGTCTTGGCTGCATTAGCTGTGGTTATACTGTGTGCCTCAGCAGTGCTCTTCAGCTCCCCATGTGTGTGCCTTGTCTTCATCCAGAGCTGGGGTGAAATCTGTATTCCCACCCTTTATTCATCTCAACCCTACCCGGTTTTCATGCAGGGAAACTGCAGCCAGAAAGGGAGAAACAAGACATTCTGGCAAGTCCAGCCATATCAGGGTGAGGAGAGGACCAAGACACACACAGACAAAAACACCAGGTGAATAGCTGTGCTACAGTATCACTTTGCAAGAACATAAATATTATCTGTTTCACACTATTATTTTTTTTATCATCATCAGAGTTTCATATTTAATAGGATCACATAAAATATCAAGTTGTAAAATCCTTAAATGCTGAATTCAGGATAAAAATACCTTAAAACAACCGCACATGTTGGAGCTGAACTTATTTATCATTAAAAAAAACAGGCTTTGGATGTTATTACTTGGAATTCTGTAACATCTATTAGTACTTGTTTCACATCTGCTGCCCCAGTCTTTACAAGGACACAAAAAGATGGAAACAGAAGAGTGAAAATGAAGTAATGCTTGATAAAGTGCATTGTTTACTCTGTTGCTAACAGATTGTCACCCATTGTTGTTAACTGCAGGATGAAGAGTGCTCTTGTCTTCCAGCTTCTGATAAGAACAAATGTATGTGATAAAATGTGTTCTAACACAAGAATATATACTGGTGCTTTCTGATATACTAACATATGTTTACACTTGACTCAATCCTGGTTTAGTCTCCAGAGGGAGATGGTGAACAGATCTTTTGCTCTTTAACCCAACCCTGAAATATGGATATGCAGAAATTTGGTTTTGCTTGGTGTCCCTCCAACTGTTTATTCTGTACTCAAATGACTTGAATTCTGGCTCTGGGTCATTGATGCCTACTCTTTGTTTTGAATTATATGTTGCTCATTTCAACACTTCCACTAATTTGGCTGGTTGATTGTGTTTGGTTTTAGCCTTAAAAAGTTTAATTTCATTCCTCAAAGACTGGACAAATCATGTTAGAAACCAGTTTGCCTTCTGCTTTGTTTATAGCATATTTTGCTAGCCAGCATAAACAAAGCCTAGGGCAATTTGCCATCCTATTCCAGACAGGATGTCCAACACGTGCAAAGTCTTTTGTTTACACTGTGAACTGAGTTTGGAGTTTTTGCTTCCCTGCTCTGGATTCTTTATCCTAAAAGTGATGTCTCATCCTATGAGGAGAAAACTACAACTCACAGTGCACAAATCTGCATTTTTAGGTAAATGATACATTGTAGGTGAAATAAATGTCTCCCAATACTTGGATTACTGGAAAAAAATTATGCTGAGAGAAGAAAGAAGTCTGCCATGCATGTTGATATTTACCTTAGTTTGTGCATTGGGAAGAGCATACTTGAAAGACGTGAGTAGTGATGTGCTTTATCCCTTCCCACACACTGGGGCTTGGCATGCCGTGGAAGAGAGTCTCCCAGTAATTGTTATTAATTGCTGTGATGCAGCACTCCAGTGGCTCATGAAGTGTCTCTGGTGTCTCACTGAAATGGAATGTTTCAGATACAGACATGAATATCATAAAAGACACTTTTCCCAATAAAGCTACACCCCTGCTGATTAGCCAGTGCCCTGAGGTCTGGTGATAATAAGGTCTGACTTAAACCTCCACACTCATCCCTCTGCATGCCTCCCTTCTGTGTCAAAGCAGCTCTTCCAGCACTCAAGTTCATTTCAGTAGTTAAAATTTGGCTCTCACTCTCAAGAACATTGAGGTCAGGCTCTTTGTGAGTGATTGCTGCTAGACATGCACATTAATTTATTAATTTCAGGGAGAAAAACAAGAAAAGGGGAGAAGGAAGAGAGCTTAGGAGTGGAAAAAGAGCAGGTAGGTGGCTGCAGGAGCAGCCCCACAGCCTGGTGGTAGCAGGGTGAGCCTCCGTGCTCTGTCGGGAGATCAAAACAAGTGGATCCACCCTCATAATCTTCTTCTTGCACAACCCCTGACATGGCTGTCTGTGGCTGTGTTCCACGCTCAAAAGAGGTGAATAGAGGACAGTGTGCTGACTCAAACAGCATTTAGAGGAGATAGAAGTGAATTTTTAGACAGTGTCTGTAGGCTGTTCACTGAGTAAACTGGCGAGTATAAAGGATGTAGTAAGCAAGTTGATTTTGTACAGGGTGCAACTAATTTAATAGTTACCAGACCAAATTCCTGCCTTCTGGTGTTTTGAATTCTGAGGTATGAAAATAAAATGTGTGAAGTACAAAATAGAATTTCTAGATGGTGGGAGTGAGCAAGATTTTATTAAGGATGTTTGTTTAAATACTGCTACAGCAGATGTAATACAGATCATTCCATCTCACTAAGTCACAGGAGTTCAAGAGTTGAAAATGGCCATTTAAAACTTGTGTGTATAAATAAATGTCAGAGAAACTGAATAAATTCTTTTCTCTTGAAGTTGAAAAACCTTCTCAAATGCTACAAATGACAGAAATTTCATCTTATTCACCAGTAAGCCTTTCCAGAGCAGCCAGTGACTCAGAGATTCAATGTCAGTCCTAAAAGCTTTCCAACCTGAGGGGAATATGAAATGATGAAGCATCCTCTGCTGCACATCAGCTTGAAGTACAGCACAATGCTGTTTTAGCACCCATGATTTTAGGAATACAGGCACCAGTCTCAAGTCACTGAACACCCCTGTTGAGGCAAAACAGGACTGTCCCTTTTCTGTGGAGTATTTTGTTTGGCTTTTGGGGGTTTTGTTGTTGTCCTTATTGCTGTTGTTTGTTCAGGTTTGGTTTGTTTCATTTTGTTTCGCTTTGTTGGGGTTTTTTTTCCCGTCTTCAAGCACAGATAGCCAAAGGAAGAGGTAACTGACTGATTGATTACTTGTGACTGCTGAATGAAGGCCCCTTTAAAGAAATGTCTTTGACCTTAAGCAGACAAAGACATCACTTGATAGCCTGTTGATTTGTAGTAGGAAATCACTTAAATAGAAATTCTTCCTGGAAAAGTCCTGTCTGCTGCTTTGCAGCAGCTCAGGTGGAGCACTGTACTTTGCTTCATCATCACTTACGTTGTGTAGTATTCCTGTAGGAGTGCAAAGACTGGGCAAGAGACCAACAGAGAAATTTTTAAAGTTAGTGATATAATATTTTGGCCATTGATTATAGCAAGATTTCAACCCAGCTGTGCTGGAAATGTGCTCTATTGGTTTGGACAAGCCATTGTACCCATTGGGACTTCACGGCCTTATTTGATTTAGGACAGAAGTTTCATGATTAGCTTAAACCAATCTGAGACTGTACTGCTGCCAAAGGGACATTCCTCCCCCTCTTACATCAGACCAGGCACCCACATGACCATACAATAAACTGATCCATCTGAAAACCAGCCCTGGGTGGAGGGGGGTGAGGAAAGAGGGAGAGATTACTTTTTTAAGTCAGAAAGTTAAGCAGGAAGCCAGAAGGTTGCTGGGGCTTATGAAATGGGTGGACTGGCAACAAACAGCTAGGGGGATGGAGAGGTGAGACAACCACCTCTGAGGCAGTGGGATTCAGCAGGTGAGTCTCATTTGAAGTCCCTTTAGCATGCAGTGTGACACAAGAGGTTTTGCTCTGGAGGGAGAAGCAGGTTGTGCTGCCAACACCAGCAGCTGTGCTGAGTGCCTTGGAGGGGTTGTACTTCAGGTTAGTTCTGGGCTTGTCCCATGCAGGAGCCTGCTGTACTGGGTATGCTGCTGGAGTCTTGAGTTTTGATAACACAAACTTGTGTAGATGCACCCAGTGTGTACCTGGAGACACCACTGGTACTCATATTTTTTGAGATTTTGAGATACTCCCATTGTATGAAAGTACTTAGAGTCTGTTTAAACTCTCCTGTTTAGGGGTGAGAGGCAGGAATATAGCAGAGCCGGTGTTGAGTGAGAAGAGAGACCACAGGGATTTCATGTGGTTTTATCCCCACAAGAAACTGAGTCTTTTCTGTGGTCCTAGTTTGAAGCAAGGGAGGTGTGCCAAGGCTGAAGCTCAGCTCTCTGTGTGGTTCCTGTTGGCCATGGTGCACTCAATGTCTTTCCTCTTTGTGATCATTCCCAACATAGAGCTCTGCTCTTCTCAGCTCCTGAGTGCTTCACCAAAGTAGTCTGTGAACTCACCTCTAGTTTAAATGTGCCTTTTTGAACAGCATCCTTAATTTGCCCTTTGGGTGTGTTTTGTGCAGTTCAGTGTCTTTAATCACTTACTCATCTTTTTCATGGGTCACTCTGGTAGTAAAAGACAGCAGGGGGCACCAAATCTGCATAATTCTGTTAAAATTGCAACATCTAGGTCCATGCTCATAAAATTTAAGTTATTATGAGTACTTTCAGTTTAGCAGTTTTTATGCATACTTTCAGTTTAACATCTGTAATTTCATTCTAGCACTGATATTTTCTAAGATACCTCCTTGCTTCTCAAGAGTTGCAGTGGTGGAAGTTGGGGTTGAATTTCCACAGAAGTATATGCTTGGGCCAGCAGACATTTCTCCTGCCAGTTGTCATCCTATTTTCTTCCCTACTTAATGCTGTAGGCTCCAGAGTTCATGCCCAGGAAGATACTCTCTCTAATATTTAATTCAAGAAGATGTTTGTATTTGCAGAATTGGATTAGCTGAAGGCTTTGCTTTTCAGCTCCAAAGTATCCTGATACTGGCATTGTAAAAAGATTTTGTGCTGAAATCAGTGTTGGACTACCTAAAGGGCTTCTCAATGGCCATGCAAAATGCTTTCAAGGCTGGAATAAGCAATGTAGCTGCCTCTGTTCTTTTGGAGAAGCTGGAACTCAGCTGTCTTACAGGTGTTTAAGAAAACATCCTCTGCAAAATAAAAATGAAACACAAAATATATTGTCTCATGATTATTTAAGTATTGGTTTAAAAGTAATCTGTGAGCATGGATCTGATTCAAAAGCCTTCCTAAACTGAGTGGCTCATATTCATGAAACAGCTGTGGGTACACTTAAAGAAGTAAACGTTACTATTTGTGTATATAACACATAAGTATTGTATTTTGGAAGTGCTTCAGGGTTGGATCTTCATTTGATAACATACAAAGAAAAGTAACATTGCAGTTTGATAGACACTTTGAGAAATCTATTATTTGTGAGCTACTGGTAATATATTTCTGTAACACACTCAAGTTTTGCTGAGATGGTCATCACATGATTGTTTTTTTCTGCCCTGTATGCCCAGTCTTGGATTTCTATTCACCTAAATTTAAAATCCTTCTTTGAAAAATCAGACCATAAAGAGAGAGAATAAGTCATACAGCTAAGAAGAGAACCGAGGTCCAAGATATGACTGCTCATCCTGTAGCTTCTGGCAAGTAATTTTAGTGTCAGATTCATAAAATAATTTGGTTATTTGAATTGTAGGTTCAGCTGGGTAGGTGCATGCCTAAATGAGTAGCACTTCAAGACTTATTTATCTACTTTAAATGTAATCACTCATTGGATAAAATAGGCAAACAACAGACCTGCTAAGCTTTCCAGAAGAGCATGTTCTTACAGGCAATTGCTATTGTTTCAATCAGCAGGAAAAGAACGTCTTGTCAGATGACCAAGACTCAGGTGAGAGCAATTAATGTGCATATTAACAGCTTGGTAAGTGTCTAACAGCACCTGTCCTGCTCTGTGCTCAACTGATGGCACATGATCCATTGATCTGTGCATGTACAGTCTGCCCAATTTATGGGAATCATGTTGGGAAAATGCAGCTGGGTTTACTAACCATGATTCATAGCGAAAAACAAAAGGATTCTGAACATGGGATTGTGTAGGATCCTACCTGAGGTCCAGCACTAGTCAAAATTTCCATTAATATTTTGAGTAACACGGCAGAGAGGATTATTAAATAGCATCCAGCCATCAGCTGCAGAGGATCCTTTAACTGCCTATGAAAGGCTAGGATGTAAATTGAGAATCATCATAGAGTTCAAGAAATCACTGTGAAAAGTATACACAACTCAACAAATTAAAATGAGAGCTACTTCATTTAGGTAGGAATAATTAAATACACAATAGTAAGAGTGGGAACAATCAGACAGCACTGTGAAACAGATTGCAGAGCTAGCATATATGGCTTTAATTGCTCATTCTTTTTCCCAAGACCTATTACTTTGTTACAGAAAGAATTTTGTTTAGTTTCATACAATTTTCCTGCTATTGCAATGGTTCTTGCTATTCTTTTGGTGCTCTCTTCTAGATACTTGTTTAAAGTATCTTGTTTAAATTTGTTTAATTTAAATCAAGAGGAAAAAAAATGGAATAAGCATTTAAACTTACCATTCCAAGATTATTCCTTTCTCTTAAGATGGTTTTTATCTTTACCAGTCTTCTGGAACCTCCTCTGTTTTCAGAATTTCTCAAATATGTAGTCAGTCTGAGATTACAGCAACTTCCGAAATATAAACCAGACTGGAAATATGTGCCAGTCTCCTTAAATAAACTCACTTTCGTGGAGGGACATTTTATGAATATCTCAGACTGCCTCACAATGTTCTATAGTATGTAAGAAACATTTTTATTGCTGTCAAAGATAGTAAAATATTTCTTTTTGTGGAGAAACACATTTTCACAGTATATAGAGATGCCATAAAACTTGCATATTGAAGCAGAATCTCATTGAAGAAGTTGTGTGTTGTGAAGGGAGAATATCTGCTGTTAGCACTTGTGAATCTGAGAAATATTCAGATATGAAGTTGTGTGGCAATCCACTTTCACAACATAATGTGACAGTAAATTCAGATACCTCAGATTTGCAGGGTTTGGAATTCATGTATGATGTTCAGAGACAGAAGACACTAAATAAGTTAACAAAAGAAACTGTGCATAAAATGAGTTTACACAACTATGATCTGTGCAGCTTTGGACTGAAATACAGTCAGGGAATTGCTCTTGGTTTATCTGGAGACTCCTCACAGTTTGGTTTCACACCTTGCCTAGGAATTCAAACAAGCTGAATGTATCTTTGCCTTGCAGTACTGTTAAATTAATGTTCCTACAACTGGAATTCTAAACTCAAAGTTATCTTTTTAACCAAGACCCTGGCTGTGTAGTGGGGAACAATGGAAGATTTCATGCAATTTCCATGTGCTTTTGTAGTTAAGAGCATGTTTTTATTGATTTAAAACGAAGTCCTACACCTGACAATAAAGAATATTGATAAATACAATCAAAGAACTGAGAACAGTCTGACGTGTTTGGGTTCAATTCAGGCCTGGCAGCGCTGCAGGATGAAATAATCCAGATAGGATAATTCTGGAATGGGCAAAGACATAGACAGTTCCCAATGCAGTCTCTGGATTTTAGTGTGGAGGTACCATTTGCTGGAGCAGAAGGATAATTGAGTTTTTGTTCCTCTTCACTTGCACCAAGATGATTAGCAGGGGAATCTCATGCTTCTGAGTTTTGCAAGGCAGACACTTTCCTGATAAGAATTGAATTTGCTCATTTGTGCAATTTGCGTGATGGTAAACAACCATCAGAGGACAGCTTCTGCCAGCTGCTGTGTCACACCTTGCCATGCTCAGCTCTCTTGGCTCCTCAGGTGAGTAGTTATTTAGCAGGCACATCAAACTGTTTACTCAGCTACGTAAGGTCATTTGCAGTAATTCTGCCTTCCTTCCTCGGGATGCACTGCTTCCTCCTCTTCAAGGCAAAATGAGCTCAGTAATATCGTTGTGGATATAGCTCATCTTAATTAATTTTCCTAGTGACTTATGCTACATTTGTGATTTTTTTTTAATTTTTTTTTTTTCTTTTCTCTCTGGGTATGTATTACCCTGTCAGTCTGCTCCAGCCACCTGCCCTATTTATGGGTATTTTAACAGAAGGAAGTTAATAGAAACTCACATTTGGTGTGAATTTCCATTTCACTAATTCACACTATTCTTGCTGGGGACACTCCAGTGTTAAAGGAATAATAGCTTACAGTACTTTCAAAGCCAGACTACTTTCCCCCTGCAAGACAAAGTGGCCTTAGTGGGAACTAGGGCAGCTAAGCTGCAGTGCTTGGAAATTTACACCCTAATTATCACAAATTAGCTTCTCCATCTGGGCCAGAACAAATACATGAAGAAACTCAGAAGGTTGTCCAGTGTGATACCTTTTCCTACAGGATGATCTCCACTGAGTACATGTGGGTCATACTGAGAGCATCACAGTGGAAAATCCTTTTGCAGCTCAAATTAGCAAAAGTGCTTTCTGATTTTCAGTTACTTGAAAGAAGAAGGCAGCATGCATGTAAATTACAACAGTAACTGATGGATTGGAAACACCAGTACTGCTAAAACGTTGTATTTGCTCCCATTTCATATCTGAGTCCCGCAGCTTGGCTAGCTTTGCTTAACTCAATAGCTTTGCTTGTGTTAATTACTTCAATGGACATGGAATTATTGCCACTAAAATAAATGCTTCAGAAGCCAAAATGACCCCTCAATGGAATAATTGTTGAAAAATATTTTTCTTTTAGAGCACTATGTCCTCAAAGAAAACCTACCTGGAGTTCATTTAACTTTGGGAGTTGCTTTACAGTTGCTTTACTTGCAATCCAAAGCAAACTCTTAGAAAATCTCCTTGGGAAGAAAGAAAGAAAAAAAATTAATCTCTGTTATGTGTTGTTTCAAAAAAGTTTATAGGTCAACAATTTATGTAGCCCAGTCAGCAGGAAACACACATGTAGCATCTACTTCTCTGAATCAGAGAGCTGGCTGATGCCAAGGTAATTACATTGATATAAGGCTGTTGTAGGTTCAAGGAGATGAGAACCGAGTTTCTCTGTAGAAGAACTAAATGCCTTGAACAGAGAAGAAGACTCTGTGTGTATGAGTGAGTGTATGTGCAGTGCTTGTGAGTCATGATAGTTTCTAAAAGGCTGTTTAACTTTCTGAAGTTGATGTGAGTCATTGTTCTCTTCCCAGGTAATGACTAGTAAAGATCATATTTAGCTCTTCCATTTCTCTAGTAATCTCTGAGACCTGTGTTCCATTGATCTTCCAGTGAACAGCTACTTCAGGGCTCTGAGTGACAAGTGAAAGCATTATGAAACAACACAGATCATTCCATTTGGAGAGCATAGATGACTAGAGCTAGAACCTGTCACTGCTCAACCTCTTTTATCACATAAAAATGACAATTGGTTTAACAAAAGAAAGCTTGTACTAAGTGTTTAATATAGGTACAAAACAAACGGTATTGGGAAACAAAGGTGACTTTGAATGATACAGAACAAAAAGTAGGCACAAGGCCAGGTTTTTTATTTATGACATCACAAACTCTTTTTCTTCCAACTATTCCTAGAGTTAAACTGAATATTTCAGAGGGCATACTGAATATATTTAAGATCTAGACCCAAACTTATCTTGTGATTTAGGCAAGTTTATCTAGACATTTCAAGTTTACAGAAAGAAAAAGAATTACAGAGCGGGTCAGGTTGGAAAGGACCACAGTGGGTCATCTGGTCCAACCTCCCTGCTCAGGCAAGTTCATCTAGAGCAGGTGGATTGTGTCCAGATGGCAGGGAAGGAGACTCCACAACCTCTGTGGGTGTCCTGTTCCAGTGCTCTGTCACTTACATAGTAGGGAAGTTCTTCCTCATGTGCAGGGGCCTTCCGGTGTTACAACTTTTGCCTCTTGTCCTATTGCTTGGCACCAGTAGAAGGCAGAACAGAAATTGAAATACTTGCAATACAAAATGCACTGGAACCTTCAACCAGGATTTCAAACCTTCTTTTCTCAGTAAGAGGTAGGTAAATTGCAGAGAATCAACTTGTCTTTCTTGTACTTCTTCATACTGGCAATAAAAATTTATTAGGATGTTAAAGCTAAGATTGCTAATGTATTAAAGATTTATATTTAGAATAAAAATGATCTTTCAGCACAGCGTTCTCATGAGATTTCTTGCTAAACATGTTCCCAACTCCTCCATTGCCACCTCCAACCTTTTCTTCTGGTATTTTTCCAATTTACAATATGAATTCTTCAGTACTTGTTGTCAAATGCTAAAATAGTTTTTATAAGAGATTTTAGCTGAAGTGACTAGAAATTCTAAGTGATACAGAGTGCTATAATCATTAGTTTTACTCCTACAGTTAAAAATATCCCTATTTATGGGTTTTCTATTTTCTCTGGTTTAACATGAGGAATATGTTTCAAAATTATAAAAGCTTAGAGGATCAGTTTGGAGAGGGTTTAAATTCAGTGTTTGATAAAGAGTTGCATTGCTGATGTGATAATAATACAAGTCATGTTTTTTTGGCAACTGATTTATTTATTCCCTTTAAATAGAGGTCAGTCAAACCTGATACTAATTTAATGAGTCAGAGGACCATGAGACAGGGCTATAAGGGTCCTGAGCTTATGGCAACCAGATCATTCCTACTGTTACTGCAGCACATGCTGCTGTACACCTGCATGGCCTCTCCTTCCTTTTGTACCATAGATGAGCCCGCCTCTCATAAAACTGCATCAGAAACAACTTTTCTGAATAAATAAAGCCATAATTTAATGTTTATGTATTCATTAGTCAACACTGTTAGTTATGCAGACCATATTGTAGCTATTCATTTATGCGTGCAAGTTAAAAATGACTAAGACCATTAATTCACTGAGAACACATATGTCAGTTTGGTGAAATACTGATTTTTTTTCCTAAATTGTGCTAAAGACACCAGGTCTGGGTTTTCTGCAACAGATTGTTGTTTTTGGGACAGCAGGGATGAGCATTCACTATCAGTCTCAGTACAGAAAGACAAAGAGGAAGAGCATTTGGTTTAATATGAGAAAATTTAATCATCCTCTGAGAAGGAGAACTTTTGAAGGGCATTGCATGTTTGACTTCGTTTTGGCATCTCTGCTGAGAATGATGGAGCCATGGGGTGTGATCTGATACAGCCTGCAGTGGGTGACAGCACCAGCAGGTCTTAGAGATTAGCAGAGTATTAAAGGGTGGGAAAAAATGAAACATTGTCAAAATCAGAGGAATCTGGCCCAGAATTTCAGTTATTTCAGTGTTTGGGCAAATGCATATCTTATGCAAATTGTCTTATTAGAGATCTGCAGGGTCCTCAGTGACTAATGAAGAATTTCTTATGAGAAAGCTTATCCAGAAAATTTGTTATTCCTTTTTCATTTCTTTGATGGAATTCAGTTATTCAGAATTGATGAAGTTGTAACCCACTCTCTCCCCAGCACAGACACAAATTAAATTCCTTCTTGGCAGGATTAAGCAATGTTAGCAAGAATTACTTCTGTATGCTTTCCATGTATTGATTTGAAGCAAAATAGGTAATGTCAAAGGCAATAAAGACTGTTTCAGATACTCCATGTTAAGATCTAACTTTCTATTTCCTTCATGGGCTCCCATTTTTACGGTGGGTTTCCCCTCCAGACTAAAGGTCTTGACCAGTTCAGAAAAATCTTCTCGGGGAAACCACACAGATACCATTTTGCCAGTGCTGAATATCTCATTACTAATTTATGGAAGATTCCTGCCTTACATGTATTGGAAGGATTTCACATCTGGAAGGAGGTAACTTTTGTACAATGAAGATGACTTCTGCTGTTGCCATGAACAATTATGGTTTTGTTTAATTCTAATCCTTCTGAAAACCCCACACATAGTTATTAGAGATGTATTGTACTTAAGCAAATCCTTCCCCCAATCCATTTCACTTTAAAGCAGGACCTCCCCTGCAATTGCTTTTTCCACTTGTTTTTTCTACTCTGACTTGGAACCAAGGGCAGAGATCCTGTCTTTCTGGGGGGATTAATATCCTGTCAGATATTTCATCACTGGTGAGGAAGCAGTCTTGATGAGCTCCCAGGAGATAAAAGCTGGATTTGGAGGAGGTATGGAAGTGAGAGGCAGTAGACAGGCTGAGACTATGAGCTAACAAGAAGGGAAAAACAAGCTAATGGGAAAGAACTGTGCAATAGAGAGACAGAGGAGGCTGGAGCAATAGAGAAGAAAAGCATTTCTTAAGAATTAAGAGGTGGAATTATAAATATCTGTGCTCACAAAGTTGCTCCGCTAACCCTGCAGGTAATGGAAAAAGTCACAGATTCCCTGATGACAAACACGCTTTTATTTGCTAGCAGATCATGGGTGCCATGAAGAATCAGCACCTTGTGTCCTGCCTCTGTGGTGCTGGCTATCAGAGCATGGCACAGAGCAGTACTGAGATCACTTAGTTCAGGAGAGTGATCTGAGCTGCAAACCTGAAGCTCTGGTTTTGCCAGTGGCCATTATGGACATGAGTGGGATTGCATATAATTCTGATACAGGCTGGCAAGGGAACAGTAAAAGCAAAGCACTATAGTGTCATGCTCTGAACAGTCTTACTTTGCTCTTCAGGAACATTTCTGTATCACACATTAATCCATGCTTTTAAAAGTGGATTTCAATAATATGGAGTTTATAGCCTAACAGGAACCTTACAAATTTCACAGGGACAAATGTAAAGTCATGTATTAAGCAGAGAATAAGCCCTGGCAATGAAACAGGCTGACAATTCTGCTGAAGATGACCTGAGACAGGCAGTGGAACAGGTTGCCCAGACAGGCTGGACTGTCTCTGTCCATGGAGGCTTTCAAGACTTGTCTGGATGAAGCCTTGAGTAATAAGCCTGACCTTGTGTTTGTCACTGCTTTGTGCAGGATGTTGGACTAGACACAGCCTGAAGTCCCTTCTGACATAAACTTTCCTGTGATCTTATGATAATATACTTACAATTTATTCACCCAGGTCCTACAAAAAAAAGGTGGGAACAGCTGGCAGTAAAAGGAGATTATTGTCAGTGGGTTTGCAAACTATTTTATTCTTCTTATCTGAAAATGAGACTTCATTAACAAAATGTCACTTGCCTTTATTATTGCAAAGGTAACCTTTTGAAAATGAACTGACCATGAAATAATAGAGTAATTTCATCTAGAATCTGCAGATAATCCAAAATAATAATGCACAAGGGTGTGAAATTCTTCTATTAATCTCTGTGGGATATTAGCAGTAAAGCCCAATGATGGAAATTTGTATATAAGCATTGTTAATAATTTAGTATTACTTAAGGTTCACAAAAGAGAGAGTCACATGTATTATTAAAAATAATCTTTGAATGAGAGTTCTCTACTATAATTAATGTAATGGCTTTTACTCTAACAGACACTCAGTAATATGTTACACTTAAACTACTCCTCTATATTATGTAGCAATAATACATAAATCTTAAAACTATGAACAACTTTGGCTGAGGGTGTTTAGCCTCCCACTTCAGGGACTACAAGCCTTATAAAGACTTGTCCTTTAGGTTTATCCAGTTGTGGTAATTATTTGGGAGTTGAAAGAACTCATTAGCACTCCCTTCTCATCCCTGATGCCGTTCTGTAAATTAGCCACTGGAAATTTCTTTAAGTACCTTGGAATTCTTTCATTATCTAGCACAAAAGGTCATTTCACATAAAATCAAGTGCTCTGAGACCTGCTAATGTAAGGACATCCAGAACTCATTAATCTATTAAATCTATTTTCACAATCTGTTTTCACAATTGGATGTTTGTTTTTGAGGCCTGTCTGCTGCTCACCAGATGTACTCTGTTATTATTTACCTAGTGACTGAATTTTTGTGGTGCCTTCCTAGAGGTCCTCACAAACTAAAAAACCATCTTGAAGTAAAAAAGTCCCCGATCCTGTTAGTGCTTTAAGCTGTGGTCATATTTGCAGAGTGATAGCTTTGCAAATCAGCATCTCAGTATTACTTGTACAAATGCAGCACCACCAACTATCCTCTTGTGACAACTCCGTGTGAAATTTGGATCAGATTGTACTGCAATCATACTTCTCAACAAATGCGCAAAATAAAGAAAAATTATTTCTGTTTATAAGCGCCAAATCCAAAGAGGGATAACTAGCATTCCAAAATTTAATCTGCACAAGGAAAGCAAGAGCCCTCACAATCTTTTGTAAAAGCCTTTTCTCCATAGGGTTTACAAATGCAGTGTCACGATCTGTTTGTGTGTACTGTGAGACAAAGCCAGCTCATGTAAAAACTTGTGCTAGGAACTGTTGTCAAGCTTGAAATGCCTTGTGTACCAATCATCAAATATATTTAAAAGGAAGAGCTCTGATTAAAGATGAGAGGAAAGAATGCAAACCCTTTTATAATCAGTCTGAACAAATTTACTTTCCATTTCTTACCAACTTTCTACTTTGTCTGCAATTTGTCTCACAGTTCAGCTTTCTGATTATTTTTTCTGTTGCATTCCTGAGTTACAGGTGTGAGCCCCAGAGAGAGAGCAGCAATCCCTTCTGGAAATGGCTTGGGAATACCATGGAGGAAGCAGGAGCATTGGTGAGATTTTGAAGACGGAAGAGTGAAAGATGAGGTGCTAAATCTGAGACTGTGGCTGCTAAAATGAGCTGCTGAACATCAGAGAGCAGGAATTACTGCATTTCCCAAGAGTTCTGCAGAACCTCTGAGCCCTTTCTTTCTAGTAATAGAAATCCATGTGGGTCTCAAGAAGTGTTAAAATAAGAGTTTTTGAAAGCAACAGTTTTTCATAAAGGCAAAAATATATTTTATATATAAAATATGTATCCTATGCTCTATGTTTATCTGGTTTGCCCATTTCAGGTCCCCTGAGCAGATAATGCTGCATCCTCAGCTCCCACACTCTCCGCCCTCAGCTCCCTCACCCTCCATCCTGGCCACTGTGCTGTACATTATTTCAAAGGAGCACAGCTGGGTGCTGGACTGTAATTTCTCTTGCAGCTCAGATCAGGTCCATTAGTTTATTTGAAGGTTAGGACCAAGACCATAAAAGTGCATAAGGAGCTAATAGACAGACTGGTGTTCCTGCTGTGCTCATGGGGGCTTGAACAAGGGAGAAAATAGCCAGGCACATCCATATTATTTTCATCTTTTGCTTCACAATTTGCGGGAGTCTCATTCATAAATGACAAAGAAACAGCTCCCTGCTGTGAGGTCCTCATACCACAGAGAGCTGTAATGAGTTTGTAACGAGATGGAGATAAGGTTTTTAGTGATTACTCAGACAAACCTCTGAGTGCAAATCAGAGATGTGCTGAGCAAGGGGTATATCTTTCCATCACTCTCCATGGCTTAAACATCTGAGGATACTTAAGGTATTCTCATGGTATTATGTAAGAAGAGCTCAGTAAGACAAAAACGCCCTAAATGCATCTTTATGGATTTTTCGCCTTTGCTGTATGTCAGAAACTTTTGTCATTTGACGGCCACCAGCAGTAATTAATGGCTAGCAATATGTCTAGGGGCAATGTATGTTTCAAAGTCAGTAACAGGAAAGCCTCCATGATCTGGAAAGTCTTTGGCTGTGGAACTGTCTCCTTGCAAAATCACAAACAAGTATTTTGCCTATGTGCTCATTGAAGAGTTCCAAATAAATAGCTGGAATATAAATGAAGAGGAGTGAAGAACAGGAGATTGTTTACCTTAGAGTGTGGTGCTAAACTGAGATTTAAGAGTTGTTTCTGTTTTGGTCTTTTATGATAGCTTCAGTATATTTATATTTTTCATAGGTATGCATATATATTTGTGGAGGTGTATACATACATATAAGTGCTCCTGAAAGAAATGTTTTATTTTCATTTTCTTAGAAGCATCAGGTGTTTTCTGTGTTGAATCTTAGCATAGGTAATATATATCCAGATATTAAAGTAACCATGGCAAAATAAAGAAATATTTCCAAAGATGACTCCTGTACCTCATTGACTGCTCTTTCCAAAATGTGTGGTTATGAATAAACCATTTACTTCCACAAGTATATTCTCTGCAGGATTTCAGGTACAAAATAATTAAAAGGTCAGAGAATTACAATAAACAGGTTTACTGCATCTCTGTATAACATAAATCTCATTTCTATTTGTCTTGTTCTGTCCTTCTTAATTAAAACATCAGACCACACGTACAGTCTGGAGCAGCTCAATTATGAAAGGTTAGATCCATCAGTTTATTCCTGATTGGTTTATTAATTACTGGCCTTGACTTTTGATTCAAATCAACACTCTTTCCTCAGGATAAAAGTGTGTATTTTGTTACAAATAATATACTGCACTTTTAAACAAAAATATATTGGAAACATTTACAAAAAAGCTGCCACTGGACTTGGCTTTGATGGAATTATGTTGGCTTGTTCCATGAAGTCTGACTTTCACACGTGATCCCTGGCGAATTTCTAAAAAGTCTTGTTACTGAATCCCTTTAATCCATAAAAGGAATGAAAAACATGCTGTGAGCTGAAATTCTGTTTCAGTTTTGTAAAGATGTTTCAAATACATAATTTTTATCAATGGTTTTCAAGATATTTAAAAATGAGACTTCTGATGGTTCTGTGGAAACATTTTGTTTGCAAACCTGCTGTATTGTGCCACCTGATGTGCTCCAAAGAAGTGGAAGAACTTTTGACAGTAAATCTTGCAGAAATGGCTAAGTTGTGCCTGGAGACGCTGTGGATGCTGTTAAAGACAAGATATGAAGGGACCCATCCATTAAAGATAAGACAAGGCAGGAGTTTGCTCTTCCTTTGTTATTTTACCTATGTACTTCAGCAATTTGGATATCGCATATACATGAAAGCAGTGGCAGTTAAGAAAGGCTTTATTTATTTACTCCAGCAGTAAATGCATTTCTCACCTAGTGGGAAAGGGCAGACTGACCCTGCTTTGCTGAGCTACTCTGCTTTGGTTCATGAGCTCTTGGGCTAGGTTCCTGTCCCCTCTCCATCAGACGATGGACACGCTACCGCTGGTCCACCCACAGAGCCTGGGGCCATGTTTCACCCGATATGACTGACCCTGAAAGGGGGAAAAAAAAAAACCCACCAACTTAAAAAACACTCAAAGCGCTACAAGTTTAGGCACATAATTATCTTTTCAAGATTTGGCCTGAACTGATCCCAGCCTACGCTCCTTCCTCTCACGCTGTCGTGACAGGATTTCAGTCAGAAACACGCGGTTCTCTGACTGCAGGCGCTCGAGTGGCGGCAGGAGCCCCCGGGCCGCCCCTCACCGCCGAGCCCCGGACCCCAGCGCAGCC